CACCCAGGCGCCCCCAGCTTAGCCTTTATTATCAAAGTTTTAAAAAGCACTCGACTGTTAGACACAGCAGTGAATGCCATTGGCCTTCACATCATCACCTCTGATTTCAGGATGCTCAGATCTGCAGGTGCTCCTTAGTAGCGGTCCTGGCAGTGGGCTTAGGGCTCCTGTGCCACGTTGGGCTGTGCTTCTGTCCTGTGGACAGGGGCTGCTGCCAGTCTGTGGGGGCATCCCCCCACCACCTCCTACCTTGTGGAGCCCCAGGGATTGGGGACTCGTTCTAGGGTCCTTTGTTATGAGGACCTTCAACCCAACGTGCAGAGTTAGATAAATCATAGCAGTCGGCCTTGATTCATCAAAGGGTCTTTGAGTTTGTAGAGTAGGTCCAAAATTTTCATTTACCCTTTAACCTCTGAGGTGGGTTTCATTTCTAGAGCATATAGGAGGTCAGTGTCTGGGTTTTCACCCCCAGAATTTATTTTAATATTGTAATGTAGTATAGACCAAAATAGAGAACAGTTCTTTACCTTACATTTCCCATTATAAATACTCTAAATTCTGTGTCATTTCCATACTGTGTAAATCCCTTTAACATTTAAAACTGTGCCATAGATACATGTAATATGTCCTCACTCCATTTATTCTTGTCTCTCTGAATAGAAAAAAGCACACCATTTCCACCTATGATAAAAGCAGTGTGTCACTGGATTATACTAGTCTTAACTTGGTATTATTTGTGTCTTATGATTTCTTAGTCAAATTCGTGCTCATTCACAAGATGTTGGTGAATTTTTTAAAAAATGTTTAAGAAATTCAGAATGAACTTGCGTTTTGTCAAAAAGCTGTTCAATTGCCAAGGTTATGGTTCAAATGCATTAAGCTGCAAGTTACAGAAAACCCAATTTAAGGTGACTTGGATAAAGAGTATTTATTGGTTTATGTCATCGGAAGGCCAGCTTTAGGCTAAGCTCCAGGGTTGATTGATTGGGTATCTCCACAGTGCTACTAAAAATTTGGTTTTCTTCTTTCTATACTCTGCATTCTCACCTTCCTCTTGTGATTGCAGCCATTCCCAGACTTATATGATCCCTTACTCATGTGCAGTAGTGTTTTAGGAGCTCACCCAGAAACCCTCTCCTGCTGTTCTATTGACTTTGGTTGAGGGGTGTGCCCATGCCTTGAACCAGCAACTGTGGCTTATGAGGAGGAGCTCAGGCTTGGAGTCCAGCTTCCCCCAAAGTATAGGGCTGTGGGAGGAGGCACAGAAACTCCAATCAGACCCAAATACTTACGCAGAGTGGCGGAGGGGGGCAATATGAGTAAAGGGCACAGTCACCCTCTTCACTATCCCATGTGAGTTGAAGTCACTTGGGTTTCATTTATAAAAGTGCTTGCCTTGTTTCATTGGTTTCTGTTCCTTCTGTCCTTAGGGGCTGTGACGACAACCAAACGGACGGGCATTCCAGCTCCTCGAGAACTTTCAGTAACTGTCTCAAGAGAGAGAACTGTGCCACGCGGTCCCTCCAACCCCAGGAAGTCGGTGTCCAGTCCAACTTCTTCCAGCACACCCACCCCTACTAAGCACCTGAGGACCACTTCCACGAGACCCAAACAAGAGCATGAAGGTGGGGAAAAGGCCGTGCTCGAGTCCCAAGTTCGGGAACTTCTGGCAGAAGCCAAAGCGAAAGATAGTGAAATTAACAGGCTTCGAAGTGAACTGAAGAAATGCAAGGAGAAAAGGACTCCAAGCATCGAAGGAGCTGAGGCTTCAGACTCCAATCTAGACGGAACGTCCGCCTCACCCAGTGACTCAGAACCTTTGATAAGAGCTCTTGAGGAGAAGAACAAGAATTTTCAGAAAGAGCTTGCAGATCTCGAGGAGGAAAACCGGGCCTTGAGGGAGAAACTGACTTACCTGGAGCACTCCCCCAATTCAGAGGGAGGCGTGAGTCACACTGGTGAGAGCAGCTGCCCAACATCCATAACTCAGGAGTCAAGCTTCGGGAGCCCGACTGGAAATCAGTTGTCAGGTGAAATCGAGGAGTACAGGAACAACATACACGAAAATGCATTACGGACGTCGGGCTCGTCAAGCAGCGACGTTACCAAAGCTTCTCTGTCCCCGGATGCCTCTGATTTCGAGCACATCACCGCAGACACCCCCTCCCGGCCCCTGTCTTCTACCAGCAACCCCTTTAAGAGCTCCAAGTGTTCGACCACCGGCAGTTCCCCTAACAACGTGAGCGAACTTTCCCTGGCTTCCCTCACGGAGAAGATACAGAAGATGGAGGAAAACCACCACAGCACTGCAGAGGAGCTGCAGGCCACTTTGCAAGAATTGTCAGACCAGCAGCAAATGGTGCAGGAACTGACAGCCGAAAATGAGAAACTCGTGGACGAGAAGACGATTTTAGAAACGTCCTTCCATCAGCATCGGGAGAGGGCCGAGCAGCTCAGTCAGGAAAACGAGAAACTCCTAAATCTCTTACAAGAGCGAGTGAAGAATGAGGAGCCCAACACGCAAGAAGGAAAGATCCTTGAGCTGGAGCAGAAGTGCGCAGAAATTCTTGACCAGGGCCGCTTTGAAAGAGAGAAGTTGCTCAACATTGAGCAGCAGCTGACCTGTAGCTTACGGAAGGTTGAGGAAGAAAACCAAGGCGCTTTAGAGATGATTAAACACCTGAAGGAAGAAAACGAAAAACTGAATGGGTTTCTGGACCTGGAACGGCGTAATAACGGCGTGATGGCCCAAAGTCTGGAAGAGTGTAAAGCCACGCTAGAAGGGCTGCAGATGGAACATGGGTCGATGAAGGCTCGTTTGGAGAATGAGAAGCAGAAAGCTACGGAGACCAGCCCCATGGGGCACACGGCAGAGGGTCGTGAGGTTCAAGAAATGTTGAGAGTCGCTCGAGCTGAGAAAGATCAGCTGGAACTGTCTTGCACCGAGCTCAGGCAAGAATTAGTGAAGGCCCATGGTGAAATTAAACATGTTTCGAGCCTCCTGGCCAAGGTAAGGAGGTACCTCTGTGCCCGTGTTTCCTCATCCTTCTTAGCCTTCCCCTCTTTGACCTTTAGATTCACAGAGCGCAGAGATTCCTTAGCTCAGCCAATTTCATTCACGAATCCAGCATTCCATCTTCAAGATCTGTTGCATTCCAGACAGATCGGGGATACAAAAATGAAACACCCCAATTTCTGACTAAAGGCAGTTCAAAGTGTAGCAGGGATATAGTGAATCAAATGAGTGAATACGATGCAGGGAGAAAGAGTATCATAGAGGACAGCTCAGAGTCCAGTGCCAAGGAGGAGCACCTAAAATTATAGGGGACAAAGGAAGGTAGTACAGGAGGGCTTGTTGGAAGAGGTAGCAAATAAGCTGAGTCTTACTGGCTCAGAATGAGAGAGAGTTACCCAGATCAGTTAGCATGCTTTTGGCTGCTAACTGCTAACAGAGAATTAAAATCATCCCTAATTTCCCTACCAAGTAATAGTATAACCGCTATTTTGGTGTTTTCTTTCAGATTTATGTGTGTGTGTGTGCCCCACAAGTTAAAAAAAATTTTTAGAGGTGCCTGGGTGGCTCAGTCGGTTGGGAGTTTGACTCTTGGTTTCAGCTTAGGTCATGGTCTCAGGTTCGTGGGACTGAGCCCCACATAAGGCTCCCCATTCAGTGGAGAGTCTGCTGGGGATTCTCTCTCTCTCTTCTTCTGTTACTCCCCCCACGTGTGCACACGTGCTCTCTCTCTCAAATATAAATAAGTGAATGTTTAAAAAAAAATTTTAGGCTTCTCTTGTACATACTCTTTTTTAATTTAATATTTTCTGAGAATATTCTTCTCATTTACTCTTTGAAACATGATTTTACGGTGCCTGGGTGGCTCAGTCAGTCGTTAAGCGTCTGCCTTTGGCTCAGGTTATGATCCCGGAGTCCTGGGATCGAGCCCCGCATCGGGCTCCCTGCTCCGCGGGAAGCCTGCTTCTCCCTCTCCCACTCCCCCTGCTTGTGCTCCCTCTCTCGCTGTGTCT